GGGAATATCCTGAGTGGGAACAACCCATGGGATCGGGAATATCCTGAATGGGAACAACCAATGGGATCGGGAATATCCGAGTGGGAACAACCCCTGGGATCAGGGAATATCCTGAGTGGGAACAACCCATGGGATCGGGGAATATCCTGAGTGGGAAGGGATCCATGGGATTGGGGAATCAGGAATATCCTGAGTGGGAAGGGATCTCTGGGATTGGGGAATTGGGAATATCCTGAGTGGGAACAACCCATGGGATCAGGAAATTGGTAATATCCTGGGTGGGAACAACCTATGGGATCGGGGAACTGGGAATATCCTGAGTGGGAAGGACCCATGGGATCAGAGAATTGGGAATATCCTGAGTGGGAACAACCCTCTGCCCCAGGGTGCTCCAGCCTGGCCTGGGACACTGCCAGGGATCCAGGGGTGGAATTCCATCCCAGCCCCTCCCCACCCTCCCAGCCAGCAATTCCCAGTATCCCATCCATCCCTGCCCTCTGACATCCGTGCTCTGCATGGATGAAAACCAGGAGGGGTTTTTTTTGGGATGGGAGTGTTTGGATGTTCATTGTCCATTTTCCTCTGGGATGTTCATTAACCAAAGCTCTCCCTGTGCCTCCCCGCAGCAACTCCACGCCATCATCGCTGCCTCTGTCTCCATAAAGTCATCCCAAAAGCTGAAGAAAATCCTGGAGGTGGGTCTGATCCCAGCTCTCCTTCCAGGGCTGTCCCAAGCTCCAGGAATTTGTCCTGGGAATTCACGCTCTGTTCATCCTGGCAGATCATCCTGGCCCTGGGCAATTACATGAACAGCAGCAAGCGAGGGGCCGTGTATGGATTTAAGCTGCAGAGTTTAGACCTGGTAAGGGAAGCAGGGATGGGTTTGGGCACCAGCTGGGAATGGGGGCTGTGGAGTTACGGAGGCTGGAAAAGCTTCCAGGATTGTGGAGTGCAGCCATGGCCAGCACTGCCTCTGTCCCCAAGGGCCACATCCAGAGGGTTTTGGGATCCCAGCAGGGATGGGGACCCCACCTGGGCAGCTCTGCCAAGGCCTGACCCCCTTTCCATGGAGAAATTCCTGCTCATGTCCCCCCTATCCCAGCCTGAGGCCATTCCCTCTCCTCCTGTCCCTGTTCCCTGGAGCAGATCCCAAATCCCCCCGGCTGTCCCCTCCTGTCAGGGAGTTGTGCAGAGCCACAAGGTCCCCCCTGATCCCAGTTTTCTCCAGGCTGAGCCCCTTTCCCAGCTCCCTCAGGATCCTCCAGCCCTTCCCATCTCCATTCCCCTCCCTGGACCCCTCCAGCCCCTCGGGGTCCCCAGAGCTGTCCCCAGCACTGGAGGTGTCCCAGCAGTGCCAGCACAGGGGATGTCACTGCCATGTGGCTGTGTCACACAGCCCCTCACCCTCCTGGTCCCCCCTGGCTCCCGTTCATCCCCCCAGGCTCTTTCCCAGTTTTCCATCTGCTCTGTCCCGAGCCTGGAGCCCTTCAGGGGGCTCTGATGGCCTCGTGGCTACCGGGGCTCTCTGTGGGTGCTGCCAGCATGGAGAACAGGCTGGGGCAGCCCCGAGCCCTCCGTTCCCACTCTCCCAGCTGCTGGAGACCAAATCCACAGACCGCAAGCAGACGCTGCTGCACTACATCTCCAACGTGGTGCGCGACAAGTACCAGCACGTGGCCCTGTTCTACAACGAGCTGCACTACGTGGAGAAGGCAGCAGCAGGTACAGCCCCAACCCTCTGCTCTCTGGGCAACGCTGGCTCCTCTGTCGGGAATCACTCAGTGCTCCCGTTCCCCATTCCTCCCCGGGAATCACTCAGGGCTACCGTTCCTCCACCAGGAATCGCTCAGCGCTCCCCTTTCCCCTTCCTCTGCTGGGAAACACTCAGCACTCCTGTTCCTCCACCAGGAATCGCTCAGGGCTCCCGTTCCTGCCCCAGGAATCGCTCAGCGCTCCCACTCCTCTGCTGGGAATCGCTCAGGGCTCCCGTTCCTCTGCCGGGAATCGCTCAGTGCTCCCCGTTCCTCTGTCAGGAATGGCTCAGTGCTCCCCGTTCCTCTGTTGGGAGTCACTCAGCGCTCCCGTTCCTCCACTGGGAATTGCTCAGGGCTCCCGTTCCTCCGTTGGGAATCGCTCAG